TGCAGAACTGCAGTCAGCTGAAGTAGCCTGCAGTGCTGCATTTAACCACTGCGCCACCTCAGCACTTAAAAGGTGTATCACATTCAATCAAGGTTAGCCAATTTACATTACTGCTTGTTTGGCTTTTGAATGGCTGCAGAGATCAAACTCTCTACAAATCAGAACTGGTCCCTTTTGCTGTATCAATCCATTGGCATGTATTCATATCAGAGGTGGCATTCAGCAGGTTCTGACCAGCTCTGGAGAACTGGTAGCGGAAATTTTGAGTAGTTCAGAGAACTGGTAAATACTACCTCTGATTGGCGCCACCCCCACCTATTCTCTGCCTCCCAAGTCCCAGCTGATTGGAAGGAAATGGGGATTTTGCAGTAACCTTCCCTTGGAGTGGGGTGGGAATGGAGATTTTACCATATCCTTTCCCTGCCATGCCCACTAAGCCACACCCACCAACCCTTGCCACACCCACCAAGCCACGCCCACAGAACCAATAGTAAAAAAAATTGAACCCCACCACTGATTCACATGCCGCTATTCCTTGGAAAGTACTTTAGTACAAATTATCCATATGCCAACTCCTTCCTGGGTGGTGAATTGGATCTGTCACTTCTTAATCTCTCTCTTGGGTTGAATGTCATCTAAAACATGCTTTCATATTTAATTATGAGCAGTGGGAAATATAAGTGCTTTTCTGTTTTTATCTCCATCTGGTGGTTAAGCTCAATATTGCCCATATTTCTAAACTCAGTGAAATTAAGCTCATGAGAGCCTTTGTTTTCAGACTTCTTTTTACTTTAGTGGGCTAATTTTACCTCCAATCTACTTTTATAATCAGATAATTAGAAAAAATACAGGTGAAAGGAAAAGGGGGTTGCTCAGCAGAAGCTGAGGAGAGGTATAGGGGAGGATGGCCATCTGCTTCTTTCAATAAAGATATTAAGATCTTTACAGAAGTCATTCTGTTTTTAAATTCACATATGATTGCTTTAATCAACTACTATCCTGTTTCCCCCAAAATAAGATCTTCCCAGATAATAATCAGGCTTTTGAGTGCATGCGCTAAAATAAGCCCCTCCCCTGAAAATAAGCCCTGTCTGAAAATATTGCAATACAGTAGCAGCCATGAGGTGATCACGCTCGCTGCCTCCTGAACCTCAAAAATAATAAGACCTCCCCGAAAATAAGGCCAAGTGCTTATTTCGGGGGTCAAAAGAAAATAAGACCCTGTCTTATTTTCGAGGAAACACAGTATGGTAAATGCCGCTTTTTTTTTACAGATGTAACAATCTACGTATGTATGTGTTGATTGGAACGTAATAAAACATTAAATAAAAGAAAGCTATTTTCAGTAAGCACATTTGCCTCTACTCCAGGAGTGGAATATTTCCAGGTTCAGATTAAATAGCTATAGTAGTAGTTTGACAGGTGCTAATGGGAGAGAGAGGGTGAAAAAAACACTCTGTATGACTTGCAAATAGCACTCATTTTATGAAGCTGCTTCAAAACTATTATATGTTCCGGAAAAGTAAATTAACGCCATTTTTTCTGTATGTTTAGGTTTCAAAAGTATTGAATTGACTCCCCTTGCTGCAATTTGCGTAAACATATTTTCGAGTGGGAAAGAACTGCAGGTGGATGGCTCCATCCAGATCACCTTACCTCTTCTGCCTACAAGTGCAGTCAAAGCAGGAGAACCTATCTCAGCCTGGACTTTTGATATGAAAACGGGTGAGCGATCTCTTACAGCCAAATAATGTTGCTTACAACTGGAAGAAAGCTTAGTTTTTATCAGCTTCCTTTATTATTATGTGAATAATAATAATAAATCCCAATCGAGATGATCCTAAATACGTTTTCTTAGATGCAAATTCAGCTGATGCAAGATCCTTGTTTCCAGTTTTTGAGCATAGGGGTTGCAGACTACAGAGAGATCTCAGTTTATGTCTGTTCATTCAGTGTCTGTTCAAAGCGGTGGCAGAGTTAGAAAAAAATAAACTTACGACCTTTTTTTAAAAAGCTGTAGCCGTTGCAGCATCCCTACAGGGCGGGGCATAACCTTTTCCTAGGGGGTCACAGCAAGATCGACAGCAGTTTACAACTTCCGCGACACCTCATTTTAA